ATATTCCCTCTTGCTTTGCAATTATTGAAATTTCAACGGAAAGGCAAATATTTAGTTAATTTAAAATACGACAATGAAAAGCCATCCGTGTTTAATCCGTCAAGCTGCGTCATTTTATTGTTTCTTCTTTTACATACTTAATATTAACTTCGCTTTTGTTCGTGGCTGGCAAAATCTTCGGACGGTTAATGGACCCACTTTTCGTCTACCTATAAAACTTACACTTGGTACATAGACTCGTTACCGATGACAACACATTCTTTCAAATTTTGAGCCTCACACCCTAAACTCACCCCACCCCCACACCATATGTTTTTCCTGTTTTTCAAAGGGGTAGATGCAGGATCTTTGGTGACAATGTTTTCAAGAAGTACAATTCCCGACTACTGCGCTAATGAGATTCTTTTTTTTTTTTTTTTTTTAAATATCACAAGTACGTTTGGTGCGTAATATATTGGCCTATATACTTTTTTTTATTTCTGAAAAAGTTGGCTAAATAAGTCTGCGGTGTCAAAGCGGGTTGTTGATTAGATGATTCTTTTTTTTTTTTTTTTTTTTAAATATCACAAGTACGTTTGGTGCGTAATATATAGGCCTATATACTTTTTTGTATTTCTGAAACAGTTGGCTAAATAAGTCTGCGGTGTCAAAGCGGGTTGTTGATTAGAATATTAGTATAAAATAAAAATAAAAAAGTAAAAAAATGATTATAAAGGATTTATACTAAAAACTTTGTTTTATAAGTTGTTCAAATTGTGCTTTAAATAAGTGTTTGCACTCATTAGTAAGGGATCAATACAACCCAAACGGTACATACAAAGGAATGAACTGGTGTTGCAGAATATTACATTTAAAACCTTTCTTTTCATCAGCAGCAATGCTATGCTGAATATAGAATAGAGCGTCGATTTGTTTTGTCCTAATTAATGGAGACCGGGGGGAATTTGTTATACCAATTCATCTTTTTCGGATAACCGAACACTCCAACGGAAAGCTTGCGTTTAACAAAGCCAGTACCGTACATTCTATTTATAGAAGCATAGTGCATAATTGTACTGTAAATGGTATTTATTTTAGTGCTAAGAAACGGATGTGGTTAAACTTAAGAAAAAAAACAAAATATAATTTGAATTGGCATCAAGGAAAGAAAAAAAAATCACCTATTTATGTAAAAGTTTCTAAATTTTATTCAGCATCTCATGTGATATTCATATTTAATTATTTTTTAAATCAATTTTAATACAAAATAAATAAAATCTTGAGCTTATTTGTTGTATTACACAGAGGCGTATCAAAGGGGGGCCGGGGGACAGATGTCCCCGGGCGCCAGCAAGTTAGGGGCGCCAAAATGTGCCATGACATTATTTTATTGATGAAAATAATGGGTTTGAGAGTTAAAAAAAAGAAAAGGGGGCGCTTTTAAAATGAATTTGTCCCTGGGCGTGAATCTTGTCCCCGGGCGCAAAACACTTTCGCTACGCCTCTGGTATTACAAAGCTAAACCGGCATTCCTTGTGTTTTACTTTTTTCCCCTATCAAACTATCTCAATTTCTATATTGTTACATCACAGAATCTATTACCCTAGGTGCAATGTGTCCTCTAAGGTTTGTTGGTTCGTATGCAAAATCATAAAGATGTGTGCAAATTTTTACAGCATCAATTTTTTTACAGCCTACAGACAAAACACACACTTAAGTGGAAATTAGCTGCGCGGTACTCAAAACTGCTGCGCGGCGCCTGTGAGATTGCAGCGCAGCTTAAAGGGAACATTGCCTAGGTGCCATTTTTTTCACTCATAATTTTCTGCTAGACATCACTCTTCACTAAAACAATTGTACCCCCCCCCCCCATTTCCTTCCAACTTTTCAACATCCCCACCCTCCCACCTTTCCACCCCCCCCCCCCTGGACCCCCCCCCCCCCCCCCCCCCCCCAATCCTCGCATTCCCATCATCACCAGATGCACATGGCCGCAGCACGTGGGAAAGATGAAGTTGAGCCATCTCCGGGCCCTTGAGGACGACCCTGTCAGTCACGTCACTGCGGATGTTAAACATCCACATGGAGTGGCGGCCCCGTCCACGTGAAGTGAGCTGGACTCAAGGGAGCTAGGCTACGAGCAATGGTCGGTGGGCTAAAATTTAACACTCGACAATATTCTGTTGATGAACGATTAAAGAACAATCCGATTTTATCTTGATAAAACGTCACACTTGAATAGACTTTGCGATTGTTAAATAAAGCACAGTCGAATTGTATTTTGATCAAATGTTGCAGGCCTACTTGAATATAATGTGGAATAATTAAAATTAAAGCACTGTCCAATTATTGTATCTTGAAAAAATGTTGCACTTGAAAAGATTTAGGAATGATTAAAGCCAACTTCCTCACATGAATGATTATTTTGTGACTATTTCAGCCGAACCTGCTTATTCTCGAGCATGTCTGTAACGGTAATGCAGTATATTTTGCAAACACTTGTTTAGACAATCCTGAGAGTGGCCGGGGGGGGGGGCTGTTGTTTCTGACTTTCTTTAAACTTACCTTTTTTTGCTGTTTAAAATAACTCATTATTTTAAGCCTTGCCACGAGCTCACGTTTAAAGTAAAGGTTCGTCTCTCATTCCTGCTTACTCTCTTCCCTACCTCTCTCAACTTACTCTTTTCTTTACTCCCCTTCTCTCCATCTCCCCTTCACCCCCCTCTCTCTCTCTTTCTCCTTCTCTATCTCTCTCAAAGAATTTCGCAATTATTTTAGTAATATATTCAAACATTTACCAGATAAAAAGAGGTATTTTACACCATCAATTTTTTTCGATGAGTTTATGTAAAATTCATGAGACTAAAATATTTAACTATGGTCCCATTAATTCATCCAGTCAACTGATTTAGTTTTCCGCTAAAGAAACCCAAAAGATGTTGGCTACATATGCTGTGAACGCCTAGAAGACTTACGAAGCAAAGAAAGACAGACACGGGTACGGATTGCTTACAAAAATGTGTCTGTTTGTGTGCGACAGTAAAATAGTTTTGGACAGTTGAAACAAAAGTGAAATTTGCTCAAAGTTTAGTTATGATAAGATAGAGATCCAGAACTGGTTTGAATCGCTCACCTACTTATGTTCTGCCCCATTCCTCTTGGCTGTCATCTCACTGACTTATGTTCTGTCACTTCCCTCTCGCTGTCCTCTCACCTACTTATGTTCTGTCACTTCCCTCTAGCTGTCCTCTCACCTACTTATGTTCTGTCTCTTCCCTCTTGCTATCCTCTCACTAATCATGTTCTGTCACTTTCCTCTAGCTGTCCTCTCACCTACTTATGTTCTGTCACTTCCCTGTAGCTGACCTCTCACCTACTTATGTTCTGTCACTTCCCTCTAGCTGTCCTCTCACCACTCATGTTCTGTCAATTCCCTCTTGCTGTCCTCTCGGATACTACATTTCAGCTAAGTGTTATTTTTTAAATTTAATTCTGTTTTTTGCTTTTGTTTGTTCGATGGTGAAGGCTTCTTGCCGCCACGTTCGTTGTTGTCTTGCGTTCTTTTTATTTTTTTCAGATTTTCTTTTACGTTTTTTCGCTCATTTCCATAACGTTGGTAGTAGACTTTTGGTGTAGAATCTTCCAACGATTACCAAGTACGCCAAAGTGTGTAATTATTTGAGAACCCCTTGATTGCCAACGAGCGGTGGCCAGGTAACGTCCGTGGATGTAAGCCAAGTGGAGCCAAACATAAACACACTGGATAGTTATAAAAGATAAACAAACCATCCACACGTTTTACCTTCTCTTCAATTCATCACATTCTCAAAACGCCTCCGAACAGACATTTTTGCGCTATGACTAGAAACTTTCTTCGGTTCAGCCGTTGAACGCCTGTGTCTGCTTTAACTTACTTTAAGCTTGACAGAATGAGTCTCCATTTGATGGACTTGGAAATCTACCCAAAGTTTAGCTCGGGCATTCACAAACGACGTGTATGAACCAACCATTCTACTAAATATATTATCCCAATCCATCAGAATCTATCTGTTAAAGAACTGCTGATGATTTCTGTCCATCGCCAAGAATCTTTCACGCTGATGTATATTGACAACCAGAAGAGTTCCAGAAATTTTATCTTTTTTTATTTTCTTTAAAAAATACAAATATTGCAAGTTTCATTCAAGAGAGTTTCGATGAAGGCCATCGCATTGTTGACAGAATATTGACAATCCTTTTGCTTTGTTGACAGAATATTGACAATCTTTTTGCTTTGTTGACAGAATATTGACAATCTTTTTGCTTTGTTGACAGAATATTGACAATCTTTTTGCTTTGTTGACAGAATATTGACAATCTTTTTGCTTTGTTGACAGAATATTGACAATCTTTTTGCTTTGTTGACAGAATATTGACAATCTTTTTGCTTTGTTGACAGAATATTGACAATCTTTTTGCTTTGTTGACAGAATATTGACAATCTTTTTGCTTTGTTGACAGAATATTGACAATATGTTTGCTTTGTTGACAAATATTTTGTAATATGAGATTGTTTAAAACCAAACCATCCATTGTCACCATTTAAAGATGATCAAAAGAGCACACACAAAAAAAAAGAGTTAATTTTGACAACGGTCCCTGCTGGAATTTCAAGTCAGCCAAATGCACTAAAATGTTTATTAAGAACAGTGTTATTCACTGTTATGTTACATACCACGACCTTTCGACAATTATATCTGTAATAGTAATAGTGCTTGAAAATAATTTTTTTTAACATAGAAATTCTGTATGGACAATTTCAGTAACTTTATTAGGCTAAACACACAAAGTAAATCGAGTTTGACATTGTGTTCAACTATGCCTATCCGTTAATAAAGTAGACACACCGCTACACCGCCATAGGGCCAAGTAAGCAAGTCTTCCTGTTGTGATGGATAACTCTTCCCGGACTCGTCCCCATTCACGCCCTTGTTCGTCTCAGCTTTTACGCCAAGGTAACGGGGCTAGCACATGTCAGTTCAGGGCTTTCTCCAGTCGTGAGTACCGTATTCATCTAATTTGAAACAAGCCACGGCAACATTCCCCTCGGACCACCTGGGATCATCATTGTGTTACAAAAATTCTCTCTGCCGCGGAAGGACAAACCGATCTTTCTATCTCTTCATTTCTCAGTTTGAAGTGCCGAGTCGGTGCTGCGTCCTGTATTGGAGTTGTGTTAACAGTTTTAAACTTCAGCGACCGAAATTGTGCAGTGAACCATTGCATTTACCAAGTGGATACACACCTCATTTTTTGTGTAGTTGGTAAATTGAAGAGTCTTTGTCTAATTTTTCGTTATGTTTTAATCAGTGAGTGTATGCGCCAAGGAAATATCTTATTGGTGACTCATTAAAAGGTAATAACATAATTTTCTAATTTTTTTTATTTTTTTTGATGTCGGCCCTACCAAACTTTTCGGTTCAATGGACCAGGCTTTTCTCAAAGAACTTGTAATTGTATTTTATTAACCAAGACATACTGTCAAAAGGCGCAGCTCTGCGGATTAGTCCATGGAGTTTTACAACGATAACCATACCCCCGCCCCCCAACAGTGGATCTTTAACTTGTGTATTTCCACGTTATAATTTCTGCAAAATTTTTAAGTACTTCTCTTAACAAGGTAACGCCATACTTCTCCCAATGACTCTTCTCATTCGGTTTAAAGGCGACACCTGCCCACTAAAAGCAGATATAAGAAGACAAAATACTAAGTGAGTTGTATCGATCGATGCCATTACGCGCAGACCCAGAAAATGCACAATGCATACCTGCGGAAAATGTTTATTTTTGAGAAGGGTAATTATCCTAAAAGGGTGAGCCCGCCCCCGCCCCAGGCATTGTTTTCTTTGTAGCTATCTCAATCCGCACTTAAGTGTTCTATCTTAAAGAAATGCGGGCAAATGGCTGATGCTGGTCAAGTTCACGCCTGTGTGTCATTAAGGGAGACAATAAGGTCAACTAATTATAGATAACAGTGGTTTGGTTGTTTACGTGACTCCGGGTCTTTGACACCAACCCTCCAATAACACTGAGACTCCGGATCTTCAACACGAGCATCTGGGTCACGCTGAGACTCGGTGTCTTTAACACCAACCCTCCAATAACACTGAGGCCGTGTCTTTAACACCAACCCTCCGATAACAATGAGACGCCGTGTCTTTAACACCAACCCTCCAATAACACTGAGACTCCGGGTCTTTGACACCAACCCTCCAATAACACTGAGACTCTGGGTCTTTGACACCAACCCTCCAATAACACTGAGACTCCGGGTCTTCAACACGAGCATCTGGGTCACGCTGAGACTCAGTGTCTTTAACACCAACCCTCCAATAACACTGAGACTCCGCGTCTTTAACACCAAACACCCCGGTCACACTTTAAATTTTAAAAAGTTTCATGACATAGCCAGGAAGCCATTGTTTTTCCGTAGAGATATTTTCCAGAAAGGGGAGGTGGTTTTCGTTAGGCATTTTTGATAGCGTTCAGGGGTAAAGATAGGGACGCATGGGAGAAGGAAGATGAAAATGGGGTTAGGGGGTCCAACCTGGTTGGGACTTATTTCTCTATTTTTATCAATTTCGGCCAAGTGCAATTAAAAGAAATAAACGATAGGGTTTAACTTACGCTTGGCATAACTTTATTTCACCATCAACTAGCCAATATACCCGGTGTTACCAAGGTTTGTATTCGGAAAAAAACTTTACAGCCTTTTAGCTAACAGAAAATAAGGTCCCTGTGAAAGAAATGCCACTAAAAAATAAAAATTATAATTGTATCCTTATAAAACACATTTATAATGTGAACATATGAGGCCCAGGTCGTCTCATTTAAATATCCAAGGTGTAACTAGTTTTAAAAAATCATTATTTAAATCTAATCAAACATTTTAAAGTTGTCCCAAATATGTTAAAATTGTCCCATTATAACAAATATTCATAAATGACATTACAATAGAATTGGATTTCCAAAGGATCCTCATTGCCCAGTGGGATCTCACCAGGCAATGAGATTACACAAGGCAATGAGATCACACCAGGCAATGAGATCACACCAGGCAATGAGATCACACCAGGCAATGAGATCACACCAGGCAATCAGATTACACAAGTCAATGAGATCACACCAGGCAATGAGATCACACCAGGCAATGAGATCACACCAGGCAATGAGATCCTACCAGGCAATGAGATTATACAAGGCAATGAGATCACACCAGGCAATGAGATTACACAAGTCAATGAGATCACACCAGGCAATGAGATCACACCAGGCAATGAGATTACACAAGTCAATGAGATCACACCAGGCAATGAGATCACACCAGGCAATGAGATCACACCAGGCGATGAGATCACACAAGGCAATGAGATCACACCAGGCAATGAGATCACACCAGGCAATGAGATCACACCAGGCAATGAGATCTACACCAGGCAATGAGATCAGACAAGACAATGAGAACCTACCAGGCGATGAGATCCTACCAGGCAATGAGATCACACCAGGCAATGAGATCACACCAGGCAATGAGATCACACCAGGCAATGAGATCAGACAAGACAATGAGAACCTACCAGGCGATGAGATCCTACCAGGCAATGAGATCACACCAGGCAATGAGATCACACCAGGCAATGAGATCACACCAGGCAATGAGATCACACAAGGTAATGAGATCCCACCAGGCAATGAGATCACACAAGGCAATGAGATCACACAAGGCAATGAGATCACACAAGGCAATGAGATCCCACCAGGCAATGATATCCCACCTGACAATAAGATTCCACCGGGCCAATGAGATCACACAAGGCAATGAGATCACACAAGGCAATGAGATCACACAAGGCAATGAGATCACACAAGGCAATGAGATCACACAAGGCAATGAGATCACACAAGGCAATGAGATCACACAAGGCAAAGAGATCACACAAGGCAATGAGGCAATTAGGTCAACACACGTTTATAACAGAACTTTCTATCAAATTCTTGATTAATTTCAATTACGCCCCAACCCCCTCCTCCCCAACAAACTCTCACCCCGTCAGAAACTTATAAAATATTCCTCTTCTACGTATTCATGTTTAGGATACAAACAAATTCTTCAACAGAAAGACTATAACTATACCCATTTTTATTTAGTTCTCTTCCTCCATATTTAATAAGTTCTGTTATGATGAGGTCTTCTCCAGGGCTTATATGTTTTTTTCATAGACTTGATTTCTTCTGTAGATTCTTCCAAAGCTGGAGAGTTTATTAAAGGGTCTTGATCTCCATGTGGTGGTTCATAATCTTCATCTTGTCCATTGTCTGCATTTAGTATGTTCTCAAACTATTCAGCCCACCTCTCCAGTACTTTAGTATTTTCCATAATTAATTCTCCATCATTGTTTACGCATTTGAGGTCAGTCTTGGTAACCATTCTTTTCATGTTTTATCTTCATGTACATTCATCTGATGTTTCCCTCTCTTAATGTCTTCTACTTCTCTTTGCCTTCTTTTTTTCCATTACCATTTTTTCTTCCTACAAATATAAATATCAGTGTGTCACCTAACATATACATATCAGTGTGCCGCTTAACATGTAAATATGAGTGTGTCACCCAAAATATAAACATCTGTGTGTCACCTAACATATAAGTATCAGTGTGTCGCCTAACATATAAATATCAGTGTGTCGCCTAAGATATAACTATCAGTGTGTCACCTAACATATAAATATCAGTGTGTCAACTAACATATAAATGTCAGTGAGGCACCTAACATATAAATATCCCTGTGGCACCTAACATAAATATCAGTGTGGCACCTAACATATAAATATCAGTGTGGCACTTAATATACAATGATGCTTATAATCTGTGAGTGTTAGCACGATTGATATAACTGTAACTTCAAAAAGTTTCCATTTGTCTTCATTTATCAACAACACAGACCTCTTGAACATCAACTAAAGATTGGCCCACACAAATTAAAAACAAAAACAACTTTGACTTATAAATGTGGGTCGTGTCATTCGTGTCGGCCAAAAGTCGTCTCGGTCTTTAAATATATTGGCACTTCCCAAGTAGCGCTAAGCCTATATTTACACACACCTGCACATATCTAGCAGATTTAATCTACCTTTTAAAAAAAAATTGAAAAGATATCTAATTAATAACTAAAATATTAAAAATTCCAGACAAAGTTATTTTCATGCTCCTTCAGACGCTCGCCGCCACCATAATAAAGCTAGACACGAGACGACTCCCATGAAAACCTGCAGGCTCGTTTGTTGATAATCTCGACCCTAATTACTCCTTTTTTTTTTCTTCTGTCAGACAGAATCTGACCCTCCATACATCTTTCTGTCCCTCGTTTCGTCCTCGGTGGATGCCTCAAGTGTTTCCATACATCAACTACAGCGCGTTTTCTTTTATTTGACATACACTGTGTAGGGTTCACGAGAACTGGGCCGGACTGCAAGCCCAGCTAAACAAAATGTGGCACCGAGGACTTTGACTGGCGTTTGGAGTTAGGTGAACAGACATACGAGCCCAATTCGCGGATCTTAGGAAAATGTATTTTTAACTTTCAACCCATCATTAGGCCCTGCTACTGATTCTTAAATGCTATTTAAATACGTTTTCTGTATTTATAACTTTGTAGTTTTACGTTGTTAAAGTGTCTTTGATTGCATGTATAAGGCATAGGGCATACGCATACAATACATCTTTCACAGTGATTCCCAAACTTTTGACATCGGTGTAACCCTATCTATAATTTTCGTAACACTGAGTACCCCTCGTTAAAAAAAATGTGCATATACTTTGATAACAATCCAACAATATTTATTTTTTCCTTTGAGGTATCAAATGAAAGATAATTGAATGGGCTATATGTGTGTAAACTTACTTCTTCAGTTTAATAAAATAAACGACCACAAATGACATCCAAATAACATTGAGTCTAATGGTACCCGGGTGCGAATGGCGGCGCTGCGTGTCTGGGTCCATTTTGACTCAATGCTATTTGGATGTCATTTGTGGTAGCTTACTTTAGTTAAACTGAAGAATTTAGTTTACGAACAATTATCTTTCATTTGATACCTCATTTTGTCTTACAAACCCAACGATAATATTTTAAATAGTTTTTTTTATCCCAACCTCTCACTTCTGGTACCCGGGTACGAATAGCCACTTTGATAATTAAATCGTCACAAAGTTTAATGCAGCGCACCGGAATTTAAAGCGCGGCTTATCTAAAGCATTGTCAGAATTACGTGGGGCACCACAAGTGCAAAATAGTTGCCTTCAGGGCATTTACGGGAAATAAAATCGCGCGCGAACCAGTCAAACTTTTACAATGTAATGAAGTGTCATTGAGCTACACTATCAAAAGAAGTAAATATTAGTTTTTAGTATCTTTGTTTTTTTTCTTCTCTTAGAAGCATATACCCGCAGCACATCTAACACCATTTTGCTGCAGACCAGTGCGCCACGGCGCACCGTCTGCGCAGCTCTGACCTAATTGAACCCCTTTCAAACCACCCTACGGTGTTTTTGTGCGCGCGTCTCCCGTGACCTAATTTATCGCCGTGCCCCATAGACTCTTTTTTTGTTTTATTTACCAGCTTCCTTCCAAAGAACCTTTGTGGCATGTACCAGCTGATACAATGTCCGTTATCACCTACGTGCGCCGTCTCATTTTACGGTCAACATCTGGAGAGCAGCTTATTGTGCCAGGTCTTATCTTCCGGTCGGTCACGATAATACACTGGCACCATTACACAATAGTGCCCGTGTGTTGCCCATCCATTGGCTCTTTTAGAACACGTGGAAAGTGGATTATCACAAGTAAATAACCTGTTTATAAACAAAACCATATATTTTATTGGGGCACATTTGCCTTTAAGCTTTCTCAGCCCCCCCCCCCCCCCCCCTTTTTCCCCAGCCCAGCCCGTCGCAGCACACAAACATTTTTTGTTCCACATCCATCAGAACCAAAGATATTTTCCGCCGTACATTTCGTTTAGAGAGTTTCGTGCTCCGAGTTGATCCGAATAGGTGCAAAGGTTAATGGAAGAGCTAATAGGTTTTCTGTGAATCAAAAGTCTACCGCCTGCGTGTAATAATTTCTGTCCATATAATGTAAACGGTTTAGCTTGACATGTGGCTTGGAGGCTCTATAGTTTATTATCTTTATAAAAATTTCGTAATCTTTATAAAGCTTATTATCTTTAAATAGTTCATTATCTTTATAAAGTTTATCATCTTTATAAATTGTATTATCTTTATAATTTCTTCTAACATTTTCTACATCCACATGCTTCTCTAATTAACGATCATTAAATTTTCTACCGAATTACTAAACTAATAATAATATAAAAGTACCAAGTCTTTGGGAAAACAATTTAATTTTTTTTTTTTTTTTTTTTTATATTTTTTTGTTTTTGAAATTTTAATAATAATATAAAAGTACCAAGTCTTTGGGAAAACAATTTAATTTTTTTTTTTTTTTTTTTAAACTTTAGTGGTTTAGCAAATTACTACCACTGGATACGAAAGAGCCGAAATCCGTTGTAAAGTTTAGGCCTATTATTCAACAAGCTTACGCGGAGGAAGTAGGAAGTATATTGTTAAATTAAAATTAATTGACAAAAACACTTTCTAAATTACATCTCACGATCGTTAGTCATAAAAGTATTTTAAAATCATCTACTTATGTAGCATATAGTATAATAATAGGCAGGGCCGGCCCTTGTGGTGCTGGCGCCCTGGGCAAGCTTAACTTTGACGCCTCCTTTTAAGTATGATTATAAAATGCTGCAAGAAAAAAACTGGGGATTAGTAAATGAGTTATTTACATAGGTTGTATATTTTGAACAAAAAATGAACGATAAAATTATTTTTCTTAACTTGTATTTGGAAAGTATGAACAATTAGCCAAATAATAATTTTATTTATTTATTTATTCATTTTGGCATTTTTATATAGCGCTTACCTTAAAGCTCTAAGCGCTTTACAATTATTAAAAACATGTAAACTAAGTAAAATAAAAATGAAAAACCAGAGAAACTAGGATAGTAGCTACTATACTATAGAAACAATTAAAATGGCTATAAAACGAGAACACTTTGGCACGTTTTGGCCTATACTACAGGATCAACCCGAGACAGAAAATGAGGCAGGGCAAGTAGGGTGCATCACAGGTCACAGGCGGACCTAAACAGATGGGTTTAAATAATAATAATAATAATTAGAGCCCTTATATAGAGCGGTTGCCCAGCCTAGGGCAGTATGAACAATCAGCTTACCGTGGTCAGTATGATGATTAATCAGCCTACCGTGGTCAGGAGGAACAATCAGCCTACCGCGGTCAGTATGATTAATCAGCCTGCCGTGGTCGTTATGATTAATCAGCCTACCGTGGTCAGTATGATTATTCAGCCTACCGTGATCAGTATGAAAAATCAGCCTACCGTGGTCAGTATGATTAATCAGCCTACTGTGGTCAGTATGATTAATCAGCCTACCGTAGTCAGTATGATTAATCAGCCTACAGTGGGCAGTATAAACAATCAGCCTACAATCAGCCTACCGTGGTCAGTATGATTAATCAGCCTACCGTGGTCAGTATGATTAATCAGCCTACCGTGGTCAGTATGATTAATCAGCCTACCGTGGTCAGTATGAACAATCATTCTACCGTGGTCAGTATGATTAATCAGCCTACCGTGGTCAGTATGAACAATCATTCTACCGTGGTCAGTATGATTAATCAGCCTACCGTGGTCAGTATGAATAATCAGCCTACCGTGGTCAGTATGATTAATCAGCCTACCGTGGTCAGTATGAACAATCATTCTACCGTGGTCAGTATGATTAATCAGCCTACCGTGGTCAGTATGAACAATAATTCTACCGTGGTCAGTATGATTGATCAGCCTACCGTGGTCAGTATGATTAATCAGCCTACCGTGGTCAGTATGATTAATCAGCCTACCGTGGTCAGTATGATTAATCAGCCTACCGTGGTCAGTATGAACAATCATTCTACCGTGGTCAGTATGATTAATCAGCCTACCGTGGTCAGTATGATTAATCAGCCTACCGTGGTCAGTATGATTAATCAGCCTACCGTGGTCAGTATGATTAATCAGCCTACCGTGGTCAGTATGATTAATCAGCCTACCGTGGTCAGTATGATTAATCAGCCTACCGTGGTCAGTATGATTAATCAGCCTACCGTGGTCAGTATGATTAATCAGCCTACCGTGGTCAGTATGATTAATCAGCCTACCGTGGTCAGTATGATTAATCAGCCTACCGTGGTCAGTATGATTAATCAGCCTACCGTGGTCAGTATGATTAATCAGCCTACCGATGACATTTGACTTTTCCTTTCCATCGTGTTATTGCTTTTTCTATTTTTCTTCCACACATGCAATGATTTTTTTTCTCCAATTTTGGAAGATTGTTGATGGCGCCATAAGCGCATGGCACCCGGGGCAACTGCCCGAACTGCCGGTACCTTGAGCTGGCCGTGGTAATGGTTCGTAGCCCATTGACCATGCAAGCCATATACTCTAAACGATCTAGGTCAAAATGTTTATGTGATCTGCGCACTAAATATTATTTAGTTTGGACATTGGACAGGCAATCCCTTGCTGAAGCCTACCGAAAACCCCGTGAGGTTGTTTGCGATTGTAACGTATAAAAATGTCTTATCATCCCCCCTCCACCCCTTTTAAGTATTTTTCCATCATTGATGAAAACCAATAACATCGAATTCACGTTATTACATAACGTTGTTATTACAGAACGTTGTAATCACATAACTTTGGCTCTTGTGGAGCTTTGCGCAGATGTGAAGTGGGCCCCCTTTTAAATAACCATGCATGCTGAAAGCACACCGACACTCAACTTTTAAATCTCCAATGTTGATTGTATTGTTAAATTTTAATTCTTTTTATGAAGGCTACACTATTCCAATATAAACTGTTGATGAAAAAAAACAACAAAAAAAACTTTTAACGCATAAAAAGCCAATCCGACAAAAAACAACAAACAACAACAATGATGCAAATTTTCGAAATGTTTCTTGAAGATACAACAACCGTGTTGGGGATACTCTAAAGAAACGATTCAACGCTACAACATTTGACAAATTGTATAAACTGTTTGGCATCCAAATTTTAAATCGGATAATAAAGGAAATCATGAGAATAAAAAACAAAATAATAAATCGGCCACAAATTTCAACTTATCTAGGCGAAAACAAAAGTAGGCTTAACATTTCAACTTATCTAGGCGAAAACAAAAGTAGGCTTAACATTTCAACTTACCTAGGCGAAAACAAAAGTAGGCTTAACATTTCAACTTACCTAGGCGAAAACAAAAGTAGGCTTAACATTTCAACTTACCTAGGCGAAAACAAAAGTAGGCTTAACATTTCAACTTACCAAGGCGAAAACAAAAGTAGGCTTAACATTTCAACTTATCTAGGCGAAAACAAAAGTAGGCTTAACATTTCAACTTACCTAGGCGAAAACAAAAGTAGGCTTAACATTATAACTTATCTAGGCGAAAACAAAAGTAGGCTTAACATTTTAACTTACCTAGGCGAAAACAAAAGTAGGCTTAACATTTCAACTTACCTAGGCGAAAACAAAAGTAGGCTTAACATTTCAACTTATCTAGGCGAAAACAAAAGTAGGCTTAACATTTCAACTTACCTAGGCGAAAACAAAAGTAGGCTTAACATTTCAACTTATCTAGGCGCACACAAAAGTAGGCTTAACATTTCAACTTATCTAGGCGCACACAAAAGTAGGCTTAACATTTCAACTTACATAGGCGCACACAAAAGTAGGCTTAACATTTCAACTTACCTAGGCGCACACAAAAGTAGGCTTAACATTTCAACTTATCTAGGCGCACACAAAAGTAGGCTTAACATTTCAACTTATCTAGGCGCACACAAAAGTAGGCTTAACATTTCAACTTATCTAGGCGCACACAAAAGTAGGCTTAACATTTCAACTTATCTAGGCGCACACAAAAGTAGGCTTAACATTTCAACTTACCAAGGCGCACACAAAAGTAGGCTTAACATTTCAACTTACCTAGGTAGCGGAGGTAGGACAGTGCGAAGGGAAAATTGTAAGCCAAAGAAATTACGCCTTCCCCCTTTCTCTTCCCTCTTCCCCCCACAGTTTCTTCCATAAGTGATCATAAATACACCCACACCAAATACTAATATATAAATATATCATACAACTTTGTTCATGGTGTATATTGACCATTTTAGCACCCACTGATGTTAATGCCCCTTGATATTGGCACCCACTGATGTTAATGCCCCTTGATATTGGCACCCACTGATGTTAATGCCCCTTGATATTGGCACCCACTGATGGTAATGCCCCTTAATATTGGCACCCACTGATTTTAATTCCCCTTGATATTGGCACCCACTGATGTTAATGCCCCTTGATATTGGCACCCACTGATGTTAATGCCCCTTGATGTTGGCACCCACTGATGTTAATGCCCCTTGATATTGGCACCCACTGATATTGTTGCCCGTGTGGGGTCCCCTTCGCTAGACCGTGTGTGCAAGTGACTATTTAAAAGATCTCAGCCTTTAAACTGAAGAAAAAGAAAAAAAAGAGCATTTAACTTAAACAAGAAAGTTCCGGGTGAACCTAAAGGATTGTGAGGCAATTGACTAGGGGCCACACGGCTCTTAGGGGCCCTTGCCTCTCCATGTATAAAAAGTAATGGAATTATGGGGGGGGGGGGGGGGGAAAAAAAAAAAAGGAGAAAAAAAAAAAAAAAAGAAAAAAAAAAAAAAAAAAAAAAACAAAAAAAATGGCGGAAATAAAAAAAAGTGAGTAAAAAAAAAAAAGGAACACATGATATAAAAATTCAAACTCTAATATACAGAAATAAAACTATATTAACTTACAGCACATAAAGTGAAAAATTTCAAACCTCGGAAAATACAAATATTAATACACACACACAGACACACACACAGAGAGAGAGAGAGAGAGAGAGAGAGAGAGAGAGAGAGATAGAGAGAGAGGAAGAGAGAGAGAGAGAAAGAGAACAATCTTGTAATGCTCTTATAAGTAAATTACGTCTCGTAAATGTCAAGTAAAATTAGCAAAGATCTCTTCCGGCTGGGAAAACTCCCGACTTATTTATAGGGAGGAAGGGGGAACCCTACAGAAAAGAAATTCTAGAAATTGCATAAACCAATAGCAATAGAATTCTTTATAACAATTAGAACTTAACCACCTTTTCCAAATCAAGGGAGGGAAGGGTGTGTTCGAAAAGGAGTGGCAGCACAGTGTTATCAATTTAATTGGTGACGTCAGTAGCAGAACAAAAAAGGGGAGACCAGTAGTGGACAAAAACTAGGCCTATAACAGCCGCTCCTTTCGATTGGTTACCGAAAGGTATGGTGTAGTTTTGGTCTTACGGAGAATCCGCCAGTGTAACTATACGTTGTCCTGGCGATAATCCATGGTCGTATTATGACCTTTAGGACTCTGTGCATAGCAGCATATCCTAGATAGGGAGCCAATGCCCCAGGCGATAACCTTTAGGGGCGCTATAATCGTGGATAATTCTAAATCAGCGTTAAAAAATCCTATATCCCCTAGCGTGAGAATGGCGCTAGGGGGGGGGGTGCGGCTCACTCCACTGGCCGGCTCCTCTTTAATAAATGTGACTTAAAATTAGATAGGATGTGTTGTCATCGGCATCACGTCTATGTGCCAAGTTTCAGCTCGATAGGTTGACTGGGTTAAGTGGGTCATTTAGCATTCCAAAGATTTTGCCAGCCAGCCACCCACGAACAAAAGCGAAGTTAATATAAAGGATTTTAAAAATAGTGATGAAATGTTGTATATTATAATTCTTATTGTTTTCATGAGCCTGTGTGTTATATCAATAATATAATTGTGAATAGTTTTGATGAGTTTGTATGTTAAATCGATATTATAATTGTTAATTGTTTTGAGGAGTCTGTGTGCTAAATCAATATTGACTTTGTGAATACTTTTTAGGAGTCTATGTGCTAAATCAATATTAGAATTGTGAATAGTTTTTAGGAGTTTAAGTGTTATATTTATATTATAATTCTGTTTAATATCCATAATTCTATGATATGATTGTTCACCAAAAACGAACGATTTCTTTATCTTCCCCAGCTACAGCATTACGTCACGTGCTTTAGAAATATTTAATTGATCCCTAAATAATTTACGAAAGAGCTTAGAGAAGAGGTTTATTGTGGAAAATGGATAAGCGGATATCAAGCAACTGAATGACTGTCGTCAAAGCTCTCAGTTTTCGCGCGGAATTCTGAGTCTCAACCCATCACCATGAAGGCGCCTCACTTCGCCTTATTTACACTGTTATTTTTAGTGATTCTACTGCAACCGACCAACTCAAATCGGGTGCTTTTCAAAAAGCCATCGTCTTACAACACCTTCATGAGACAAGTCGACATGAACTACGAGAAGGCGAAGGTGGAGACTCTTGGTGACATTTTCAAGAGACACGTCCAGCAGCTGAGGCACACGCCCAACAAGATGGTCGAGTTGGTGTTCCTCGTGGACAGCTCCGGTACGGTCGGAAGGTCGTACTTCTTTGAAGAAATTAGGTAAGTTCATAGAGGAAGCTGACACTTAATGAGCGTAGCGCCTTGCACGAATGCATATTTTTTTTTTTTAAGTTTTTAAAAAATAATTGAGCCCCAACCCCCCCCCCCCCCCCCCCCCAAAAAAAAAAAAAAAGAAATAAATAAATAAATAATTATTTACAGTGATCGGCTGGTTTCTTATTTTTACTACGTTCTGACTACACTCTGGCTACACGACAGCTCCATAAAAATGTATAGGCCGGTATATAACACCGGTTTCTCAATTTCAATGAGTAATTCTGATTGTGGGTTGTCAAAAGCTTGGCAAATGTTATAAAGAAGTCGTGGCACTAAAATGGCCGAGTACTGCCGGGTTATCCATTGATCCCCGTGGCGCTACGGCCCATGTAGGGTTTTGACATGCCTCACCATTTCCTTCCATTCAGACATAACTTAAGATTTTCTTTTCCATGCCATGATTCGCGGCTGCTGTAGATCTTTTTCCACATCAACCATCCATCTAAACCTAGGTCTGCATTTGAGCCGTTTTCCTCTGGGGTTTTGGTCATGCACCTTCTTCATTCTTCTGTCGTTTGGCATTCTTTCTTTCTTTCCAATTCTAGGTGTCCTGCCCAGCGTAGCCATCCCATTTTTATTTCTGCTACTAGCGTGGGATCCTGATATAGACTAGTTTAGGATTATACATATTATATTAAATAATATGAATATTATTATTATTAAGCAATTCGTGTTTTAAATTCATCAATCAGCTTTGATGCCTTTGTGATTGCTACTGGTTCTATAAATGCATTTCACTTCATTTCTCCCCGTTGGGTGGAACACTGGGAAAATGAAAAGATAAATCTTCCTTTTTTAACACTGGGACCCACCGGTATTGTCTCAAAATACCCGGATCCGGACCGGAAGCAAAAAAAAAAAAAAAAAAAAAAAAAAAAAAAACAAAAAAAAAAAAAAAAAAAAAAAAAAAAAAAAAAAAAAAAAAAAAAAAAAAAGAAACCAAAAAAAAAAAAAAAAAAAAAAAAAAAAAAAAAAAAAAAAAAAGGCCCCAATTTTAACACGTTATTAAAGCAGTGATTCTTTAAGACATATTTTAAAATAAAAAACGCTGGCCAACATTTATCTTTATCATCGATCCCTATGCCTAACCTGAACCCTAAATCGATCCTTAAACCTAACATGAACCCTAAAAACTAGCCGTAAATCCACAAGTAAAAACACGTGGACCATGGAATTACTGTGGCAAGAAAACTATAAAAATTAACCAAAAAAAAACATTAAAAAAGGAGGCCAAAATAATTTTAAAATAAAGAAATAATGAAAATCCAACTTACAGTTTCATGAAATACACTTTTAAAAACTTAATTTCAGGTCCCAACGAAAAGAATAGCCACAAAATGAATAAATCTCCACAGGCACCCCAATTATATCAAATATGGTAGAACAAAAAAAAATATGATAATAAGCCAAGGGGCAACCAATCAAAATTTAAACATTATAATTGATCAACCAATACAATTTTAATTAGGAAAATGTAACTCTAGTATAAAAAAATAAGGGGAGTGAAATCAGTGAATCCAAAACAAAACACGCAAAAATCGCCACGGGCGCTAGATCTGAATCAGCCCACGATAATATAAATTGTGTAATTGCTGTGTCCTCGGTAATATTTACCAATAATTTTATTACTGAATTATTCACCGAAACCTTAAAGATTTTTCTCCAATGTAACTCTTTTAAATCTAGACTCATAAAAGGTGACTAATCAGTTAAATTTAATTTTTTGAAAGTTGACAAGCGCTATTTTGATATAAACATAAAATATTTATTTCTAAAAAACTATTCAAAATTTAAAGACATTAACTCTAACAATAAGTGGGGCTAAATACATAAGTGGATGTTTTAAAATTTTAAGAATCCATTAAATTAATGGTGGGACTTTCTACGTCTCTATAGTCTATGTTCAATGTTATTATAGCCGGTCTAATTGTCACACTCACTAATTGACTATTAAACTAATTGTGTTTTATGATAAGTTTTATCATTTATAAAATTTATTTATGCCATGCAAACAGCAATATTTTAATAAATTATAATTTAGGGTACCAAATAAATTATATTATTTTCCGTTATTTTATTTAAACATAAAAATTTATTGAATAAATAATTTTATAATTAATATAATTGACTTGATTTCACTTTTTCTTTATTGAGTTAAGTGTTAGTCTTACTAAGTTAATTTTTTTATAATTCATATAACTCTTATATGTCTTATAAGTTATTCTAAGAATGTGTAGTTCTTTTTTTAAAGTTGAGCAACCAATAAATTATGAAATTGTAGATACTTTAACTTTACACTTAATCATAATCTAATTGTCTAATTAAATTATTAATAAGTTTGTTTTGTTTGAACATTCTTCTTTTCTCTCTCTCTTAAATTTAAATCATGCATGTTTATTAGGCTATATAGGCTCTACTATAATAATATTACTATTTAACTATTTACTAAATATTTATAAGTTAAAATATTTATATTGAATTGAGCGTATTAAAAATAACCAAGTGGCTATTCGGACCCGGCTATCAGAAGTGAGAGGTTGGGATTAAAGTTTTTAAAAAAATATTATTGTTGGGTTTATAAGACAAAATTTGGTATCAAATGAAAGATAATTTAATGCACTATTTGATTGTTTGTAAACTTAATTTTTCAGTTTAAATAAAATAAACTACAACAAATTACATTATGTATAGCATTTAGTCTAAAGGAAACCGGGTCCGAATAGCAGCTATGTGTACCCGGGTACCTTTAGACTAAATGTCATTTGAATATCATTTGAGGTAGTTTATTCAATTATCTTCCATTTGATATCACATTTTGTCTTACAAAACCTGCAATGATTTTTTTAATAAACCCAACCTCTCACTCTTTGTACCCGGTGCTGAATAGCCGCAGCCTAAAATTAAACAAGTCAATCAAGTCCAAATTTAGAATTAAACAATTTTCCTTACTATTATTTTCCACAGATTCGTGCGTAATTTATTAGCAGACTTTACAGTTGATGTTAATTCTACGCGTGTATCTGTAATAACTTTTTCATCCCCCAATAAAATTTATCGTCACATTGACTACCTTACAAAACCTAATCAAGATAACCATAAATGCCGACTGTTAATTGAAGACATTCCACTTGTTGAATATACACCAGGAGGTACTCATACACTTGGTGCTTTTCTTGAGGCTGAGGTACATTTTTTAATAATGCTGTTTTTCATTTCTTTTAATTAAGATAACTATAATCTACATTTTATCCAAAATTTTTAATGAGCAATTCATTTATTTCCCCTTCCCATAATGCTTAACAAATGATAAATTAGTTAATTATCTTTAATCTAATTATTTAAATATTTTAACATTATTAAATTATGATAAATAAACATAATAAATTATTTTACATTTGACAAATTAAATTTAAAAAACTTAAGTTCTCACTATAAACTGTTTCCGCAAAGCCATCATTCTCTGAAATTGAATAAGTTAATTTTTTTTTGCTAGAAAGTTCTTAAATCAGCCAGACCAGATGCAGTTAAAGCTATATTTCTAATGACCGATGGTTATTCCAATGGAGGAGATCCACGTCCTGTTGCTAAAAAGTTGAAGAGACAAGGAGTAAAAATCTTTACTTTTGGTATTCGAGATGGATTTGTGTGGGAATTACAGGACATGGCATCAGAACCCAAGAATGAGACTTGCTACATTCTTGACAGCTTTGAAGAATTTGAAGCCTTAGCCAAACGCGCCTTACATGCAGGTGGGTATGTAACAGCCAAATATTTAATTTTTTTAACTGATGTATTTGATTCTAAACATTTATCAATAATAGAATGAGAAATTCACAGTATTAAATCAGTCTTTAAGTGGGGATGTACATGACTAAATAAGGACTTAACTAAATCTGTATCAAAACTTTGAAGCTTTAATTCTGGGAGTTAATATTCTGTACAGATCTTCAAAGTGGCACCTATGTTGAACAGCCTATGAAAAAATGCAAAACACTCTGCACTACTGAAAATTTGTGCTGTCATGACAACGCAACATGTTCATGTGGAACTTACACTGGAAAATATGAGTGTTTGTGCAAGCCAGGATATTATGGAACTGGTAGAGGAAAAGTGGGCTGCAAACGTGAGTTAATTTCTAAACTATATTGTTAACTAAACATATTTTTTCATATTGTTATAATTTTCTTCTTAATAGGTAATAGGTGGATTTTTTTACAAATTTAAATCTTCTCCAGTGAAATTTATAGAAATTAATTTACAATATCCATCTCTTAGCCTGCCCTCCTGGAACCTACAAGAACTTCACAGGTCTCGGAGATACCAATATATGTACTCCATGTCCAGATGAACACCAAACAACACCTGAAGGGGCAGCCTCTATATCCCAATGTGTTTGTAAGAGGGGCTATCATAGTTTTGGAGCTAAAGAGTGCACTGGTGAGGCTAGGATGTCTCTTAATTCTGCTTTTATATTTTTCTCTTCAATTGCATATTTATTTTTAAAACTACACATTTTTATATGCCCAGTGTTTTGAGTTTGCTAAAGAAACAAGAATACTTTGGTGTTTTGTTTTTTTTAGATTCATCACTGAATTACTCTTATTATTATAAAGAAGTTTAAAATTAAAATCAAACATATTTCTATATTTTTTATCACAGTCTGATGAAAGGAGAGTAATATTTTAAGGCACACAGTAATCGCTTTCACTTTTTCATAATTAATTTTCAGTATTCAGATGTCCTGACCTCCCACCACCCAAGCATGGGTACTTTGTAAACAACAAATGTAACAATGTCTTCAATGCAGCATGTGGGCTTAGATGCCAGCATGGATATGAACTCAGGGGCAGCAGTCTGCGAATATGCCAAGACGATGGGACATGGTCTGGCCAGGATGCTGAGTGCATCAGTATGTTCCAAAAATAAAAATACTTTTCTTCTATATCTTAAGGGCCCATGATCAAAGTAATGATCATTCTGGCTCCTATTTATGTATAGCCCTTTAATATTCATGACTTATAAACAGCCAAAGCTAGTAAAGTTTATCCCTAGAAGAACCGTGAAAGTTTTAATATTTAACCTCATTTGTTGATGTAAACTCTATCAGTGAAGACCTGCCCAACTCTTCCGACTCCGAAAAATGGTCACATGATTTGTTCAAGTGATGACTTCTCCTATTCAACCATCTGCCGGTTTACTTGCAATGCCGGATATCAACTTGTGGGCTCTAGAAAGAGAACCTGTCTTGCCATAGCTTACTGGACAGGAATAGCAACAATATGTAGAGGTGAGAATGAGCTACTGAAAGTTACATAAAATATTTTATCACATACACTGAGACATTTTTATATATTTCACCAATGACTGTTTATAAATGATGGCCGTTACCATTTAAAATAAGAGATGTTATTTGATGTGAATTTATTTATTTTATCAAAATCCATTTATTACATAAACAACTTTATGTTTAAAGGATATAAAATGCTAAAGCAGTATCAGTCTTCTTGTTTTGCTAAATACACATCTAGTGTCAAAATATGCTAAATACACCTCTAATGTCAAAATATGCTAAATACACATCTAGTGTCAAAATATGCTAAATACACCTCTAATGTCAAAATATGCTAAATACACCTCTAATGTCAAAATATGCTAAATACACATCTAGTGTCAAAATATGCTAAATACACCTCTAATGTCAAAATATGCTAAATACACATCTAGTGTCAAAATATGCTAAATACACATCTAATGTCAAAATATGCTAAATACACCTCTAATGTCAAAATATGCTAAATACACATCTAGTGTCAAAATATGCTAAATACACATCTAATGTCAAAATATGCTAAATACACCTCTAATGTCAAAATATGCTAAATACACATCTAGTGTCAAAATATGCTAAATACACCTCTAATGTCAAAATATGCTAAATACACATCTAGTGTCAAAATATGCTAAATACACATCTAGTGTCAAAATATGCTAAATACACCTCTAATGTCAAAATATGCTAAATACACATCTAGTGTCAAAATATGCTAAATACACCTCTAGTGTCAAAATATGCTAAATGCACCTCTAATGTCAAAATATGCTAAATACACATCTAGTGTCAAAATATGCTAAATACACATCTAGTGTCAAAATATGCTAAATGCACCTCTAATGTCAAAATATGCTAAATGCACCTCTAATGTCAAAATATGCTAAATGCACCTCTAATGTCAAAATATGCTAAATGCACCTCTAATGTCAAAATATGCTAAATACACATCTAATGTCAAAATATGCTAAATACACCTCTAATGTCAAAATATGCTAAATGCACCTCTAATGTCAAAATATGCTAAATACACCTCTAATGTCAAAATATGCTAAATGCACATCTAATGTCAAAATATGCTAAATGCACCTCTAATGTCAAAATATGCTAAATACACATCTAATGTCAAAATATGCTAAATACACCTCTAATGTCAAAATATGCTAAATGCACCTCTAATGTCAAAATATGCTAAATACACCTCTAATGTCAAAATATGCTAAATGCACATCTAATGTCAAAATATGCTAAATGCACCTCTAATGTCAAAATATGCTAAATGCACCTCTAATGTCAAAATATGCTAAATGCACCTCTAATGTAAAAATATGCTAAATACACCTCTAATGTCAAAATATGCTAAATGCACCTCTAATGTCAAAATATGCTAAATACACATCTAATGTCAAAATATGCTAAATACACCTCTAATGTCAAAATATGCTAAATGCACCTCTTAAGTCAAAATATGCTAAATACACCTCTAAAGTCAAAATATGCTAAATGCACCTCTAATGTCAAAATATGCTAAATGCACCTCTAAATTCAAAATATGCTAAATACACCTCTAAAGTCAACATATGCTAAATACACCTCTAAAGTCAAAATATGCTAAATACACCTCTAAAGTCAACATATGCTAAATACACCTCTAAAGTCAAAATATGCTAAATGCACCTCTAAAGTCAAAATATGCTAAATGCACCTCTAAAGTCAAAATATGCTAAATACACCTCTAAAGTCAAAATATGCTAAATACACCACTAATGTCAAAATATGCTAAATACACCTCTAATGTCAAAATATGCTAAATACACAACTAAGGTCAAAATATGCTAAATACACCTCTAAAGTCAACATATGCTAAATACACCTCTAAAGTCAAAATATGCTAAATGCACCTCTAAAGTCAAAATATGCTAAATACACCTCTAAAGTCAAAATATGCTAAATACACCTCTAAAGTCAAAATATGCTATATACACCTCTAAAGTCAAAATATGCTAAATACACCTCTAATGTCAAAATATTCTAAATACACTTCTAATGTCAAAATATGCTAAATACACCTCTAAAGTCAAAATATTCTAAATACACCTCTAATGTCAAAATATGCTAAATACACCTCTAATGTCAAAATATTCTAAATACACGTCTAATGTCAAAATATGCTATATACACCTCTAATGTCAAAATATTCTATGTACACCTCTAATGTCAAAATATGCTAAATACACCTCTAAAGTAAAAATATTCTAAATACACCTCTAATGTCAAAATATGCTATATAAACCTCTAATGTCAAAATATTCTAAATACACCTCTAATGTCAAAATATTCTATGTACACCTCTAATGTCAAAATATTCTATGTACACCTCTAATGTCAAAATATTCTAAATACACCTCTAATGTCAAAATATTCTAAATACACTCTAATGTCAAGATATGCCAAATACACCTCTAATGTCAAAATATGCTAAATGCACCTCTAAAGTCAAAATATGCTAAATACACCTCTAATGTCAAAATATGCTATATACACCTCTAATGTCAAAATATTCTAAATACACCTCTAATGTCAAAATATTCTATGTACGCCTCTAATGTCAAAATATTCTAAATACACCTCCAATGTCAAAATATGCTAAATACACCTCTAATGTCAAAATATTCTAAATACACCTCTGTCAAAATATGCTAAATACACCTCTAATGTCATTAATTAACAGCCGTAGATCTGATTTTCACAACCTTGTTTACAAATTCCTTCAGAAATAACTTGTCCACCTCTGGTTGAGATAAAAGATGCCACCATTACACCTGCATCTTGCACGGCCAAAGAGGTCATCTTTGGCAGTACCTGTTACATCTCATGTTTATCTGGGTACACACTGAAAGGTCCACACAACAAGCAATGCACAACAGATGGCACATGGCTTGCAACAGGAAGTGGAGTGAATCAGTGCGTGGGTAGGTCAGACATACTTTAACCCTTTCATTACCACTGGTTTTGGCATCGATTTTTGCTGACTCAGCAATACAAATCTTTTTTTAAAGAAGATATTTTCCGTATTTTCATCCTCTATCGTATTCGCTTTTAAACTTCTCTATAGATTAACGAATAAAGAAATATATAGCATTGAAATATGACATCGATGTGACGTCCTTGGTATTTCAGAAAAGTTCTTTGCCTTTTTGTTATGACGACAATGAGACGTCCTTGGTAATTGAAAGTGGGTGATCCTGATGTCGCATCGACGTCATCGGTAGAGAAGTGGTTAATGAAAGCATTGGTTAATTTAGTTTTCTGTTTCAAATAAGTAGTTTATGCTTCAGTTAAAAAAATAATAATTTAAAAAAAAAAAAAGAAGCTTTTATATTATAGAATGTGAAACAGAGGAAAATTTTATTTATGATTTAAATATTGCAAGAGGCTATAAATTATAAACAATTTGACTTCTTAGATGAGGCCCCTCCAGTCTTGCGATGCCCTGACAACATTGAAGTTGATGCTGATGAATTTGAGGACACCACTGAAGTAACCTGGGTTGCACCTGTTCCTGTCGACAACTCAGGTTTTCGCCCAGTTTTAACCTCTGACCCGGCCGTGACTCCTGGCTCAAGGTTCCCTGTTGGGACAACCATCATTGTTTACAAAGCTGAGGATTTAAGTCTAAATGTCGCCAAGTGTAAATTTATTATCACTGTTGCAGGTGAGAAGATATTCTGGTAAATTTGGTAGCATCCGTTTTAAGTTTATTCAAATATTTGAAGGTTGAAACAAGGCGAAATTTATGTGTTGATGGAACTGAGCATCATTTGTTTTAATGGTAACAAATGATGATGGAGCAGTAATTCATTGGGAAGTCAACAACTTTTGGATTTAACTAAAAGAGGAAAATTTGTGCTACTTCCAGTTTAAATTTGACATGTGTGTCTAATTGACACGGCTGTAGAGACATCTTTATGGATTACAGATTCCACCTTTTGATGATTTTAGTTTCTAAACAGTGTCATAATCTAGTCCCTAAGATAAAAACCATTCAAATTATAGTGAAATAAAGCTAAGAAAACATGTGGGGCTTTTTTAGTGTAAGACCAGAACCTTTTTTTCTGACACAGTGAATATCACATTTCTTTCTGACACACTGAATATCTTATTTCTTTCTGACACAGTGAATATCACATTTCTTTCTCACACACTGAATATCTTATTTCTTTCTGACACAGTGAATAGCCCATTTTATTCTGACACAGTGAATATCTCATTTCATTCTGACACAGTAAATAGCTCATTTCTATCTAAGACAGTGAATAACTCATTTCTTTCTGACACAGTGAATATCTCATTTCATTCTGACACAGTAAATAGCTCATTTCTTTCTGAAACATTGAATATCTTATTTCTTTCTGACACGGTGAATAGCCCATTTCATTCTGACACAGTGAATATCTCATTTCATTCTGACACAGTAAATAGCTCATTTCTATCTAAGACAGTGAATAACTCATTTCTTTCTGACACAGTGAATAGCCCATTTCTTTCTGACACAGTGAATAGCTCATTTCATTCTGACACAGTAAATAGCTCATTTCTTTCTAAGACAGTGAATAACTCATTTCTTTCTGACACAGGGAATAGCCAATTTTTTTCTGATACAGAGAATATCCAATTTTTTTTCTAACGCAGTAAATAGCTCATTTCTTTCTGACACAATGAATATCTCATTTCTTTCTGACACAATGAATATCTCATTTCTTTCTGACACAATGAATATCTCATTTCTTTCTGACACAGTAAATAGCTCATTTCTTTCTGACACACTGAATATCCCAGTTCTTTCTGACACAGTGAATATCCCATTTCTTTCTTTCCACAGACAAGACACCGCCACAGGTTGATAAATGTAAGTCTCCCCCACCAATAATTTCACTGCAAAATAAGACAGAGGTGGCGTTGGAGCCTCCTATTTTCTCAGACAACTCTGGACTACCTGTCGAAGTGGCATCCTCTGTGAAGCTGGGAGAGTTGTTTCCCATGGGGACAACTGTGGTCTCATACACAGCTTTTGATTCCGCCAACAATAACAGCACCTGCAAAATAGAGGTCCAAGTTATCCGTAAGTTGGATTGAAACTGTCAGCACCAGATGGCCGTTGTTTTTGTTAATCATAATAAATAACAATAAAGTTGTCACAGATTATTTAAGATTGGGAAACAACCAGGCCCCAGGAAACAATCAGGCCCTAGGAAACAACCAGGTCCTAGGTAACAACCAGGCCCTAGGTAACAACCAGGCCCTAGGTAACAACAAGGCCCTAGGAAACAACCAACCCCTAGGAAACAACCAGGCCCTAGGAAACAACCGGGCCCTATGTAACAAATGGGCCCTAGGTAACAACCGAGCCTTAGGTAACAACCGGGCCCTAGGTAACAACCGGGCCCTAGGTAACAACTGGGCCCTAGGTAACAACCGGGCCCTGGGTAACAACCGGGCCAGAGGAGTTGGACAATCAGAATTTCAAACTCTCATGAGATCATACATGTATGATACAGAGATCCAAAAATTAGAGGTGCTCTGTTCATAACACGTTTTGCCCTTGATTACAAAATGATTTTGATCATTTTGGTGGGGGTCTAACTCCCATTTCTCATCACAAAGTGCTTTAATAGTAGTCCTCAAACTGTTATTAGGCTAATGCTCAGTTAACATGAACAGATGTTCATCAAATTTCTTGATAGCACTATTTTGTCAAACAAAAAGAAATGTGTGCATTCAAAAAGAAATTTGACAAAAATTTGATGGTGTGAACTGAGCATTTGTACAAAAAAATCTATTGAAGTCTATATTTTGAAGAGCTGGAAGTATTTTTAATTCTTTCCATTCACAGCTCACCTATGTGTTATACCCAATGCACCTGAACATGGTAATGTGTCTTGTGGAGAAGGTGAAATGGGGGTCAAGTGTCATATCGCCTGCAATGCCGGCTACGCCTTTGCTATACCTGCAGCCGAGGAATATTTCTGTGCCTACCGAGAAGGGCGATGGACACCAGAGGACAAGTTTCCTTTCCCAGACTGTGCAGGTTATTTCCCTTTTTTCCTGATGTTTATTTTGCAAATATTTTCACAAGAATGTGTTCTGATAGAAAGGCTTAAAAACGGTTTCAATGTTGATACAACTGTTTCATCCCCACCAAGCGTTTAAAGAAAATCAACATAATTGAAGTTGATCTTAACATCCGCTGAACTGGTTTGTGAACTGTTTAAACATTTATTACAACTTCTGGATAAGACTTCAGACCCCCTTGTCATCAAAAGTTAGAGTTGAATTCATTTACTCTAAACCCCTTCACCACAACAGCAACCTCTAGCCAAAATAGGACACAATGATGAGATTTTTGTGTGTTTAGTTCATTTATTTAGCAAGGATTCCTGTGATTGACTCCCAATAGGCCCTACCTGTTGAAGATGATGGTGACCTTTCAAATTTTGCCTTTTTTTTTAACAATTAAATCTTTAATGCCAGTTCTACTGCGTCATAGCTATCAGTAAAAAAATTGTTGCTCTCATGGCTGTTTACAAGATTTTTAAATAACAGAACATTTCCACTGCCCCTGTTAACAGAAGTGACATGGGGATTATAAACTATGTTATGGACATAAGAGTGTATGAGGTTAATATTGTGACTTAATACAGACACGGCTTGCACCCTTGGAGAGGGAAAACAAAATTGTGAAGAAAGACTTTTGATATTTTGCGATATGTTTAGTTCCGCAACCATTAAGTCTGTAAAGACTGCATATGCGTGGGGAATGCAGTGGGGGGGGGGGGAGAGAGGGGGGGGACATTAAATCCAAATGTTTTGCTTAAAGGAACATTGTTTATGAGCATGGAATGGAGAACTCTATATTCTGTTTCAGTGATCCAAATCTCCAACAACATTCTCCAGCCTGCAGTGATCGCATTGACTGGGGATTTGTCATGTAAAGATCAAGTCTTGATATACAAGATTCAGCAGAGTCTAGAGGGCACAATGGAAGATAAAGTGAGTTCTCTTAAAATTAAGTGTTACGTACTGTTATCAGTATGNATATTAATAAGACACGAACAAATTGTGTCAATAGAACAATATGAGTTAGCTTTAATAATAATTGTACATTATACAGAATTAAACGTTTCGGCACATGCCTTCATCAGTACAAACAAACACAACACATTTAAATAAGTATAAATTAAATTTACATAATGTCAATATATATATCCTACCTAAAACAGAAAAAATATAGGAGAGGGCGCTTAAACCTGACAAAAACAAAGTAAAGAGATGTAGAAAAAGGAATTTTAATATGTTGTTAATAATAAATCAAAAAGAAATAAATGAAAGCTATTGATTTACAGTATAATGATTGGCTTGTACCGGTACAATGTATAAAAAGGTACAATGATGAAGAGGAATCTACACACACAGCAAAAGATAGTAAAGAAATCTCTGTCTTGTGTAGCAAATCTCTATAGTGATAGCAAAAAAAAAAATTTCTCCCCCGTTCCTGTCACTCAATATAAATATATATATAGCCTGTTTCAAAGACATTTCTCAAACGGGCTTACACATTGTTTTCCTTTCCTGATTTGTCTGGATTATTCTACAGAATTCTAATAATACAGACTATACATTTTATTTAGTCAAGAGGGACTATTTTTAATTAGCCACACCCTAAATGCGGTTCCGAGCTTGGGGTCAGCTAGAGTTCATTCACGGGGAAAGAGGACGTAAACACGTCGTCTACATAACATAAGTGTCAGTTTTCTATTACTTTCATCTTTCTTTAAGATCTCATTCTAGTCATTTAAAAAAAAATTGAAATTTTATAGCATTAATGACTTTACTAAACTGGACTGAAAAGGGTATATTATTGTAACGGACTATGTTTTCACATGTAAACAGAGAGGTAGCATGAGTGGACAGTGAGTGTGTTCACCAGGTTTTTCCACGGGGAGAGACAATCAATGTGGATTGTATTTTTGAGAACAAATGTGAACT